CATTAATGTTGGATCAACCATACAAGTCATTTCCATAGAACTATGGTTTCTACAACCATAGTGTACGCATGGGCGAAAAATAACATTACTATTTTGTTGGGGCAACTATATTTCCTGAAGTGATATCCATAGTGTTTTCTCCGTGCAAGCAACTTGAAAGCGGCAACTCGAGAGAAATATAGAGAGAGAAAGCGCGCGCAAACTCCACCAAATCCGTTTTCCAGCTCGTCCGCTCAAGTTGGAGAACAACGAGCGGCGAGTTTCGATTCGTCTCCCATCGTGTGCTCTACTCGTGAAAGATCATTCGTCCGTAGCACTTACATCACTTCTACATTATCTATCATCATATTATCTTCCGCCCCGAGCGCTGCTTTGGCCACCTGGAAGACGACCCTCGTCGAAGATTCTCACTCGCGCGCCTATCGGACGTTTTCGCGGAACGTATCGAGCTATCGAGTCCGTGAAAATAGATTCGAGAATAAGGTAAACCTTCCGGTTCTAAGCGAATTAAAAAAATTGCGGCCGACCCGTTTTGTGCCGGCGAAATTTGAGCGCGTAACGCGATCAAGTGCGCACAATCGAGTGCCGACTGCGAAAGAATCGTATTTCAAACGAAAAGCGGAAAACATTTTTAGGAAAGAACGGGATAATGTGAATTTGAAAGGGTTGAAAAACAAAAAAAAAAGGACTCCGATTAATTCAGTTGGAAAAGTTTCAAATAATCGCGAAACGTGCGCATGACGCGCAAAAGCGATCGAAACTAGCACAAAAGCCGGTCAGAGGTTCGCGATGATTGTCGAAAAGTAGTTTTCGACTCGTGATTGCCCGATACAATTTTCATGTCCGCCGATGTGTACAATAAACTCATTTGCTGTTTGTTCGGGACGCTGATGGGACGCATTTGACGAACGATAAACGTCGTCGGAAGCGCAGAGAAGAAGGACGTAACTGCGAACCCCGTCCGTCGGGGTCTATCGACCGAAAGGAGGATCAGGAGAAGAGGGTCAGAGCGGCGAGAAAGAGAGAGAGGGAGAGAGAGAAAGAGAGAGAGGGAGAGAGAGAGAGAGAGAGAAAGAAAGGATGGAGTTTCGTTACGGCACGTACCCAAATACCGCCGCGAACGACGACGGATATACCGATGCGCGATCGATGTTTCCGACCTACGGGGATCTCGGCGATTCGTTAGGCTCAATTCACACGGTTTGGTGCGCCGAGGAAATAAAAGACGGGAAACACGGAAAAAGAAATAAAAGGAGAGAGAGAGAGAGAGAGAAAGAAATGAAAAAAAAAAAAAAATAAATAAATAAAAAAAAAACGGAATTTTTTCATCAAAACTTTTGGTTACTGAAAAATGTTTTTGTTGCATTTGCGTAGTTCGCGTTATATACGCGTCAATGCACGCAGAGCAGAGCGAAAACCGAAATATTACAAAGCAAAAATGTGAGTGAGAGAAACGCGAATAAATAAAAATCTGCACGTTACGTCGGTCAGTTCCAATACGAGAGATATATTAAAATGAACATCAATTATTAGTGAAATATGACACACACGCGCACGTAAACGTGTGTATTATTAAACTGACTGTTTACCGATACAATGTGCGTATTTGTAAGTGTGGAAATCAGCGATCAGTTATTATTGATGTACGAAGTGTATTTGCGCCACCGAGGACTGCATAAAAACATCTGGTTTCTCATTACTTATGAATACATGTCGTTAGAAAGAACTGTTTTATTTATTTTCTCCTTTTAAAAATATTTGGCAACTTTATGTCAAAATAAAAAATCAAAACAAAAATTGTACACACCTTTGAACGCGGTGAGAAATGTTGAAAATACGTAGTTTTCTGCATATTTCAAGTTGTTGCAAAAACACGTTCGATGTGTTTTTGCAAATATCCTATTGTTTCGAAGATATTTTAACAATTTTAGGATCCAGCACTGTTCTTTTTTTTTTTTTTTTTTTTTATAAACGAACAAAATAATTGTTTCACGTAACTCGGGTATTTTGGAAATTAAAGACAGTTCATCTCTCTGTGTGTTTCAATCTCTTTACGGTTGTTCTGAAACTCTGAAAAAGAAAACGACGAGAATACCAAGAACTCGAAGCAATGACAGTTACATCGAGCGAATTTGAGATTAAAGACTCGACTTGAGAAGTCAAAGTGACGCAGCGACGACTATTTTTGTTCTTCGAACGGGGGCGACATTTCGCGGGTCTCAATAATTACTCAGTCGTTCCTCGCACACGGAACGACATACAACTAACCGCGGAAACGTGCGCGCGAAATATGACGAGATATTTTCACGCGCGGTGCCGGTGCTGTATTATTCTTCGACAAAACAACGGAGAGTGGCGTTAGAGCCAAAATTTCTTCTTCTCGACCAAATTACAGTTTACGGTCTCGGTTTAGCACGAATTTCAATCAAACAATTTGCACAAATTGAGGCTGAATCAGACTGTGACAAATTTTCAGAATTTTTTTTACTGAGAAACTCTTGTTAGGTGAAGATCTTGTTAGGAGAACTGACTCACTCTGTTAAAATTGACATTACGGTCAAGCTGTGCGTAAATATCTCGGAAGTGATAGCGACACACGTGTACGTGTGTGTGTGTGTGTGTGGGTGTGTAGTGTGTGTCGACTGAATAAAAATAAATAGCGGATTTTCTCGTAGAAATGTGCAACTTAGCCGATCAGTGATCCACGTGAGCTTCCTCATGTGCGATTTCCCGGAATCACAATTGATCACCTCATCGGAATAATTTTGCGAAGAGCAGCACGTGGCAAGATCTGGGAGTAGATTATCGCAAATTTTAACATGTTGACTCTAGATCGAGATACGTCAAGAACGTAATGTTACGAAGAGAAAGAGAGATGGAGAGAAAAAGAGAGAGATTCAAGTTCATTTTTATTTCTTATCAGTGATAAGACCGAATCCGAAGATTTTCGAAATCTCGTTTCAACGAACAAGAAGAGCAAACATACTTGCGAGTCACCGGATATCGTTATCGAGGCACTCCGCTTGATAAAGCATATAACGTATCAATTTCACAACATAGGTAGATGAGTAAGCGTCGCAATCGATATGCAATGCAACAGATAAGCCTCCAGGTATTACATGTCTTTACATTTGGATTTTTCTTCTTCTTGTTTTGTACGCGCGTGAAAAGACGTGGCATATTTCTACCGTAGCTCTCTCTCTCTCTCTCTCTCTCTCTCTCTCTCTGTCTCTCTCTCTCTCTCTCTTTCTTTCTCTCCGTCAAAATCAACGCTAATTTACGCGCTTCAGACTCCCACGAGAGATTTCAATTTCTCTTTCCATTCAATACTCCCTGAAGTTCTACACGCGAAAGCTCTCGGATCGAACCGATGGATTGCCATTGTTTTTTTTTCTTTCGTCTTTTAATACACAAACGGACAGACATAGCACCAGTCTCTCTCGATTTTTTTTTTTTTTGTCTCTCCTGTCCGGGAAAAAAATCCTGCAATATACGACAGTTTTTATTTCTGGCAATAAATAATTATAAAAAATTGTATACGAGATCGAAACGATGTAATATATATATATATACACACAGAGATAAAATTTGTTTATATATACGAAGAACTTTTTTACTCAAATGTGTATCAGCAAACTAATGAAATTCATATCGCGATCGGTGTCCGTAATACGTATATCGCGAGACATTCCACAAACGTTGCGTCGGAAACGAGTCAAAGCGATCGCAGCGCAGGTGTCGCAGAAAGGTGCGTGTGCGTTGTTCACGATCGCATTCTGCACACATTCTTGCACCTTCGAGAATCAGCATTATCAGCTTCGCCGTCGATTGACACTGGATTCTCGCCGGAGAGAGAGAGAGTCGGACGTCAACGGGGCGGCGGTTTTGTCGGACCGCACACCCACCGTAACCACTGCGACAATATCATCCCTCGCGAACGACGATTCGGGACCGAAAGTCGCCGGTTCTTCTCCGCAAGACGAGATACGAACACAAGAACCGCGAAGGATTTTTTTCTCACCGTATCTCGAGGAACGTCCTGCCTGTCCTCGCGAGTTTTTGTTCTCAAAACTCATTAACCCGCTCTCGAAGCCACCCTCGAATACGTATTATATATGCTTTTATATATGTATACACACACACGCGCGCGCGCGCGCACACATACATACACACACGTTCGTGTACACACATGCACATACACCACCCTTGGTGCCCACGCACACGGTGCGCTCCTGCCCCCGTTTCCGCGCCCCTCGCTCGCTCTCTCGCTTGAAACCCCTGCCCCTTCGCCTCTCGCTCACGAAAATCGATCCGCCGCCACCGGCCAGAACAGCAGCAGTCCACGTTGAACGGCTGCGACCTGTACCCTCGCCTCGGCGAATGTGAACAGGGGGCAGGCCAGCTGCGGAGAGCAGCGTTGTCCGACACCCCGACACGCGATCGATCCCCAATCAACGCCATTACGCGGTAAAGACCGAAGGGGGCGAGTTGATCGCCGGCGATTGCCGTGTGATACACGGGTGTCTCCGCGCGAGGGGGGTACGAGATGTAGCGAATCCGGAAGTGCCTCTCTCTCTCTTCCTCTCTCTCTCTCTCTCTCTCTCTCTCTCTTACCTGTCTATCTTGAGGCGCGATTGCCGGTCGACGTCGTTCATTTCCGCGATTTTCTCCACTGTGCTACCCGCGGCGAGTTCGCCAGAACCGTTGGCGGCGCCAGGACGAGCATCGAGCGACAATCACCCATCCAGGACTGCGCCGGGCTTTTTCCCTCGCGAGACTGTCACTCACTTCGCCGAGACAGGTGTCTCGGCGCGAATCGGCGCGAGGTCTGTGCTTGCACTCAGCTTACTTACACCGCCGTTTTTTTTCCCCGTGAGCCCGAACGACTCGCGATCGCGCCTTCCTCTCCGCGAAATTCCGCGGAGCTCCCTCTTCTGTCGAACTTCCGCCAAAATCCCGCACGTTGTCGGAGCGTTGGTTTCGCTCGGTGCTGGTGACTCGTGACTCCTCTCGCTCCGAGGGTCTCGTTGCGATCGTACCGACCTCTCGGACACCCCCTGAGCTCTCGCGACTGTGCTCGCTCGATCCGGATCGACACGATGCACGTGAATCTATCGCGACCGGTGGCACCAGACTGCGCGAGAGAGCGTCGGACGCCGCGGACGCGTTCACGGCCCTCCGGCGCTACCCTTCCTCTCGCTCTTTCTCTCTCTCTCTCTCTCTCTTTTCGCCTTCAACCCCGCCACCCTCGCACACAGCGCCCGCCGCCGCTGCTTCGACGACGACGACGTCGCTCCTTCCCTCTATCGTCCCCTCGCCACGCTCGCGTCCTCGCCCTCTACCTCCGTCGTTCTTGGCTCGCGCACAGGCGCGCACACTCGCCCGACAACGCGCCGCGGCGGCTGCGCGCGCACACTCGCCAAGAAATATTAACCACGCTTAAAGCTCATGATAGAATATCGAAAAAGTAATTTAGTAGCTAATAAGTTCGTTTGACGCGCGCTTGGAAAATATTAGCAACATTACGGTTTTATAACGTTCAATTAAAAGTTTTTGACATTGCTTGAGATTTGTTTTTTTTTTTTTTTTTTTTTTTTAATACGTAGATCTCGTTACACGCGAGCACACCCTGAACGTAGTGTAAATAAATACGATTTAACGGCCTACTGACGAATTATCGATTTCACCGCTTGAAAAACGCTTGAACGTCACGTTTGACCCCGGCGTCTCACACAATCTCCCTAATTGATCCCGCATGATGAGATCTTTGCAAAGTATGTACGTCACTGGTTACGGCGTTATCGCTCCGGTAAGCTCCGCTGCGACGTATCGTTGACGCGTTTTCCATCCCCCCACGCCACGTTACGTCCGAAGTTGGACGTCAGGGGGAGGCAGCACGTGTTGCCACCCTTTCTGTTCGGAGCTGGATCCTCGCGTCGCAAATCAACGCAGACGCGATGTGCTTTATGCGGGATCCGTTGCTGCATTATGCAATTACACGAAATTTTTGTAATTAGCTATGTGAACAATTAGGTTTTTTTTTTTTTTTTTCGCAGAGATGTTTTCTCTGCTCGAGCTCAGAGAAAAATGTTTAGGTAATCAATTATTCAAAGCTCGATATAGTAGAAGAAAATTCTTGAAAAAAGAAATTCCCAGATTGCTTTGGTGCACAACGCGCGCGCAACTGGTTAATTTTATCAATTACAAGAGAAGACGCGCTCGGTGCCCGCGAACGGGCTTTTGTATCGACTTTCTGATCTTCGTATAAATTCTCGAGACTAGGTCACACACGAGCGTGAGAAAGGATTTTAAAAGCCACGTCGATCCGCGCCGAGAAGCAACATTTAGGCGCGGTCCCCGTGTCGGGGCTAATTCATTTCGTTTTGATTACACGGAAAAGGGGTGGCGCACCCTCGCAGGAAGAATTCCGATCCCGAAAATAGATAAATACGACGACGACCATCGACGAGCGCGAAATCAGCGGGTGACACGCGAAATAATGCGAGAGTTCAGAAAGAGAGACCCCACCCTCGAACACGAATTATCGTTGTTACTTATATCGAGAAACGGCGTTTTTTTTCTCCCTTCATTTCCTTCCAATTTTCCCTCGAGTGTATACACCGCGCGACGAGACGAGACATTTTTTGTCACGTTATTCTATATGGGACACGATAATCAATGTCGTTCTATGTGTATCCGTTATCATCAAAAATGTACGTTCTCCGCGTATTTTTTGTTATATCCTCTATTTGAAGTGTACTTTTTTTTTATTTCCACTCTCCGCTGTCTATCTTCCAGTTTTTCGAGTCGAAGGGTTTCCGATTTCCGTTCGATTTCAAAGCGTCAATATTACATACATGGTTTACACACCGCGAAATCTTCATACAATAGCGATGAATAGGAAACTGTATGTAATTTTCTTTCTTAAGTTTCTCTCTTTCTTTTATAAGAAAAATATTTTGTAAATAAAACAAATTTTATATTTAATTTTTATTGTAAGGTATAACGGGGTGTAAAAAATACTATCTGTGACTTTATATAAATATATATATATATATATGGGTAAAATAAAAAATATAAAAATATTTTTTAATTCTATGGAAACTGCAATGTAAGCGAAAGACCTTCATTAACATAAAAAATTTCAGTAAGTTATAATATACAATAATTATACTTTTTAAATTACAATAACTTTATAACAATTGTTTAACTGATTTCTCGTAAACAAAAAAGAAAAAATCTAAAAAAAAAAAAAAAACTCCTTCGAGCCGGATTTGAACCAGCGACCTATGGATATCTATCTCAACGCTCGACTACAGTCCACCGCTCTACCAACTGAGCTATCGAAGGTCTTGATGTTTGCTGTTACAAAATCACATTTACATCAAACATCTGAAATGTGATTAATTTGCAATTATTTGCAAAATATAAAAATACAAACGTTTATCGGTGTAATTATGTTATATTTTTTAATTTCATAAAATTATTCATTATTGTATATTTATAGATTTCATGACAATGTGTGAACATTAAATACGCATTCTTTTTACGTATTCTTTTCACTTCTTGTATATTTTTTTTTTTAGTTTTCGATAATATAATAGAAAATTTTTAAGTTATCAGATTAAATATAAATACTGCTTACACGTTTAAAAATAAACGCAGTAAAATAGCAAAATGTAAGACAATTTTACATAATGAGCGTGTATATGTTTGACGTATTTCGAGCAACGAGAATAAATAAATAAAAAAAAAAACGCAAAAAATTAAACCGTTCTCGACCGTGACAGGACTCGAACCTGCAATCTTCGGATCCGAAGTCCGACGCCTTATCCATTAGGCCACACGGTCAGACGCTAGCGTACTCTTCAACCAAGCATATGAGGAAAATGTTCACTTTTTTTGTTTTATATTAAGTTCAAAATTTTATAATTTACACAACTCTTTGTACAAATGTAATATCCTGGATACGCTATATGGACGATGTATGCTGCCTGCGAGCTCGTCAAATAATTTGCACGAGGAACTCGAGCCGTAAAAAGCAGAGATCAGAACTATTTTGACGCTGAAGCGATTCCGATCCTTGCTAAAGATCCGCTCAAAGAGACCTCTATTTGCAGCAGCAAGCGTTTGTGTGAAATGGTAACTGTTAATCGACAATAGATGACGTGACATTTTATTTTTACTGTGCAAGAGTTTAGATCAGAGTTTGGAGTAGAGATCTGTCAAAAACACCTGTCACAAAAATTATCTATACACACTGTAATAAAAAATAAAAAAAAATAAAAAAATGACGACTTCGTTTCAGACACAACTTTTGAGTGCTTTAGGAAGTAAAACAAAATATCTGGCAGAATTAAAGAAAACAATTGCACGCCCATTAATACAACGTATGTTTTTATAGAGAGGATCTGTCCCATTTTAAATAAATATACATTCACGCACTGTTATTTACATTTAGAAATGTTTACACACATGTATATAGATAAACTATTTAAACACATATATAAAGACTATCCAAAAACTTGCAGTCGCAGTGAAAGCAATAGAACAGGAACACATAGAGGAAGGTGTGCTGGAGCGGATAAGCAAGAAGTATAACACGCCCGAAGACCAAGTGGATGAATATTACGCTGCTATTTTCACAATTCTAAAAATATATCTACGTTCTCAGTATCACAATATCAAACCTGCAGAGTTCAAGCAGTGTTTAAAAGAACTGAAGTAAGTGAAACATATGACTGTGTGTGCAGGTCTTTGAGTATCTCTTGTGTGAATAACATTCTATAAGAATCACATTTTTACTTGAATGCATTCAGTTTCATCATGAAAAGTCAGTTGATTCTAGCATTGACAAAGTTAGGGAATTATTTTGAATGACAATTGATATGACATTTGATCACATCTCTTGTGTGTATTACAGATTGACTTCAGATTGTACAGAAGATTTATGTTCCGTAATTTATGGTCCAAAGAGATCAGATCTAATTTCGGGATTGATTCAGAAAACAAAATTCAATCCACAATTGGTATCTTGCAGATGGCGGGTGGATATTATTATTTCCTCTAGGTACGTGTGTTCGAGATTTAAATAATAATTACAATTTATACAGTGTATAAAATTGTATAAATTATACAAAAAACTGTGTTTTTATATTCCGTACTTATAAATCTATTTTTTTTTTATGTTGCAGTATATTAAACAGAGTGCTAGAACCAACTATCATAATGGAGTGGATCCTCAATACGGGAGAATGCATAACGTTTGAATTATCCTTGGCAAAGTTTCATCAGTTAAGACATACCATAGCTACAATTCTCGTCGAGTTGCAGACGTTAGAGCGACACAGCATCTTCAGAACTATTCAATCCAGCTGATTGTGAACACAAACTTCAATAGTGTCCCAAAAGTCGAGTCGTGTAACTTTCTAAGAACAGTTGCTGTCATCCATGAATGTCTGGATCTATCATATAATTGTTGAATAAATATACCGATATTTTTTTCTGCTCATTTATATAACATCTAACATTGTGTATATTGTTTGTAAGTTTCCAAATATTAAATTAATACACATATACGCATCTTTTTTCCAAATTTTCTCCTCTTCAATGTTAATTTGCCGCCACTTGTAACACAAACTTTGTTTTAGTTCAATACTCAATCACATGCGGCGCTACACTTTCCTCTGTCTTGTGGAGGGAGTTTGTTTTCAGCAGCAGCTACAGCTGCTCTTAAAAATTCTGATTTGTCAAAAGTGGCAGAAATATCTTTGTAAATAATAAGGATGACGTCGATATTAAAGAACTGTTGGAAGTTGTCGCGAAGTTTGTCAGTCGCTACACCGAAATGTAATGGAGCATCGATCGTGCGAACGGTGTTTCCACTGAATTATGTAATAACAAATGCATTTATTTGACAGGTTATGGTCTCGCTGCCCCATCGTCAATAAGATGCAACACTACGACGGCCGGCGAGAAATCTGAGAAAACCGAGACTCGTCGTATGTATACAACATTTTGTTTTGTCAAAAGAAATGATTCTCTGAGTGTTCTGCTTTAATGCGATGTATTTTAAAAAAGCATCATTTCACTTTTTCAGCAACCGTGCGCAAACCTAGTCACGTTGACGTCGACCGTTTAATAAACTTTGGTCGCTATATCACCGATTGTTTACCAAAGTACATACAACAAGTACAGATTACCGCTGGTGATGAACTCGAGTTAATGATCTGCCCCGACGGCATCATTCCTACAATCACATTTCTCAAAGACCATCATAATACACAATTTGTCAATTTGACAGATATCACAGCACTGGATGTGCCCAGCAGACAATACAGATTTGAGGTGACCTTATGTACAAAACTAGATAAGTTTTATTCAATTGCGACAAAGTTACAATATTTGTAAAAGTACGTATATTTGTTATTGCAGTTGGTCTACAATCTGCTGTCGTTGCGGTACAACTCGCGTATCAGAGTCAAAACATACACTGACGAGTTGACGCCAGTTGATTCCATCGACAGTGTATTCAAAGCTGCTGACTGGTACGAGCGAGAAATATGGGACATGTTTGGTGTGTTCTTCTCGAATCACCCTGACCTTCGTAGGATTCTTACGGATTACGGCTTTGAGGGACATCCATTGAGGAAAGATTTTCCACTTACTGGATATGTTGAGGTAATTGTCTCTCGGAACATGCAGTTGTTTGCGATATTTAAATTTCACGTACAATTTTTCTTTTGATCTCGAATTTTTTCTCTTCTCAGGTGCGTTATGACGATGAGCAGAAAAGAATAGTGATCGAGCCACTGGAGGTGACTCAAGAATTCCGTAAATTTGAACTGGCCGCCCCGTGGGAACAGTTCCCGAACTTCAGAAACGCTCCGCCGGCTGTTGAGACTGACTCGAAGGAAAAGTAAATTTGTTTCGAGTAACCATCTCTCGCGTAGATTGTAAATCACAATCCGATAAAAACCAAGTGTAAAGTATAGTGAGGTAAAAATATAAATTCACACGTATTAATGAAGTATAAAATGTTTTCTCTTGTTAATCGTTTCTGAATGTCCGATTTGAGACATTTGGTCTCTGGAAAAAAAAAAAAAAAAAAAAAAACAGAGAAGAACATATATACACATGTATATTGTATATACTTCTTTATTTTAAAACGTCTAACTTACAAAACCTAGAATTATATTCTTATTTATTATTGACTGCGTGTTAAAAGTAGTTGTGAGTGGCTTTTTTCTGTTGTTTTATCATTTTTTGTTTATAAATGATTATATTTGTACTATACAAACAAGAAACACAAATATATATTGTACAAGTTACATGCTACACAAAGAAAAAGAGAAGAAATTTTAAATATTCAGCTCTATATATATATATATATGTGTGTGTGTGAAAAAGGCTTCATAGAAATACGTCTTTAGACTTATTCTGAAGTACTTCCTTTTTTTTTATTTTATGTGTATTTTTTGTGTATAGAGTTATAAACATAACATATATATATATGTATATATATATGTATATATTACTCTTATAAACTGCTTATGGTCTACTGATAAGGCATTATTTCCGGCGGATTTCGAAAGAGTTTTTGAAAAATGAAAACTCGACTTGAAAACTCTTTCCGCGTGCGCGCCAAAAAACGGCATTAACGCCGTTTTTGACACAGAACAGTGTTGAATATTGACGTTCAAACAATTTGACTATATTTTTTTGCACCTATGCTCTTATCGCTAAGTCTCTCTTTCATACGTTTGGTAAATAAATATTGATTATAAGTGTTGGCTCTTATAACAGAGAGAAAAGGGCAGCCTCTAAAGGAAAGCGCTTCTTTATTTCCGTATGATATTTGATACGGTTTTTGCGAATAAAACTCGCTTCTGAATTGGTCTAATATTAAAAATTGCGTTTAAAGATAATATGCGCGATTGAGTCTTTAGAAACAAATGCCTGTGTGTAGTCCATGGCAAATTATTTTATAAATAATTCAGTAAAACTAAAATTTAAGGTGTGCTAAATTGTCATCGCAGTTTTGTTCCGGTGCGATTTCAGCTCGCTGTTTTCTTTCCCTACTAAGTACTCGAGAAGAAGTGGATGTTTTTTTTTTATGCCGATAGAAAAGTTTTACTTTCACGAAGAGAGTAAGTGATTTTTTTTTTCGAATAGTATATAAGGCAAGAGATCTTTTTTTTTATCGAGTTGTTCGGAGCGTACGTAGCGTTTTTTTTTTACTGAAATTAAAAAAATTTAAAGATTTACAGTTTAAATTTCTTTAACTTGTATTTCTTGATTTGTTATTCTTTCTATCTACGATAATGGCAACTGGTATTTGAAAAACGCTACGGATCATCCGAACACAACCCAATATCTTTGAGAAGGCATTTGTGCATTTCTCCAAAATACTTTTCTCGAAAATCGTTTTTTCTTAATTGAGTAATAATGCATTTTAATAGACTACATTTGCAAGAAGTTGCATTGTGCCGCATCTTCGTCGTTAGTTACAATGACGTATACGTAGCGATAAATGTGATCAAATCAGAATCCAGCATCACCTAACACAAAGTAGAGAATAGTTTAGAAGATTTTTAGTTAAAACATAAATAAAAATTTTTTTACAGTTTTTTGTGCGATTGTCAGAGAAATCAAAGACAAAAGTAATCTCTCATTTCGCTTTTTATTTCTAAATGCATAGCCGTAGAAGGAACTTCAATTATCACGCTCTTCTCTCGCGGCTTTATATTATACATATTAAGTATTCCACGCTCTAAGTACTTTGTATTTATAACACACTAAGTACACAAACAACTCTTTTAAATGCATCGGTTTTTATATCTTAGATCTTGTTTTCAAAATTTCTCTTTGTTTAAAACTATAAAAAAAAAAGAATAGATTTATAGTTTATACAATCGTCTTCAAGCTATAAAAATGCAAGATTCCGTCTTACGTAGTGAAAGAAAAAGTTATTGTAAGTTAATCGAATAAAATCTCACTCTGACACACGCGGCGCGTGTTTTTTTTTCTTTTTCTTTTTTTTTTCTTGTTGAAATTTGATGCGGTGCGATTTCTCCACATTTATCGCTCTGCTTACCGAACACTTTAATATATTGTAATTACTATAATTACTAAAATCGTTATAAGAGTTAATAATTATTCGATGATTAAGCATAGACATAAGTAGATACACTTTGTGTGAAGTCACCGAATTTTGCGCGAGTTTGTTCATTTTTTTAAAACGAAAGTTTTTATTTCGCTCCAACTTTTGCTATAAACCCGAAAACTCGGCGTAGCTTGAAAATTTTAACACACTCGCGCTAATATTAGAGTTTAATGTTCGAATACGTTCTTGCTACCTCTCACACACATACACACACGCGCATTCACGCTCCGTTCGCACGGCCGTACCACCAAGACGGCCGAATGCAATTAAGCTCATGTGTGCCTTTGCGAAGTGTCGATGCGTTGCTCGACCACTCGTCTTCGGTTTGATCCTTTTTGTAGTTTCACACCAAAAGATCATTAAAAAAAGCGTTTCAATGTGAAACTACGAGAAATATACATCGCGATATTATTAATGGACAGACTTTCTCAATTTTGTGTATTTCGTTTAATTGATCTACTATACTTTGTCTATTCTGGCGGACGTTTCCAACTTCTGCCTTCTTCGAATGAACGGCATGAGACCCCAGAGGGACGCGCCGAACACAAGAATAATTCCGAGTATACTGAAAATCGGCCCGTAGCTACCGATATGTCCGAATATTATGCCGCAAATTGGCGGCCCTACCAGCTGGATGACTCCGTTGACGAACAACGAGATACCGTAGGACGAGGTCAGCTTCTCCGTGCCCAGCATGTCGGCCATGATCACAGCGGTGATGCCTACGTAGATGCCTGACGCGAGACCAAAGAATGCGCAATAGACGGACAGCATGGTGTACGCGTTAGAAGTGGGCAATATGGCCAGAGAGATTCCGGAAGCAAGCAAGCCACCGACAAAGTACCAGTGTTTGGGCATGAATTTGATGTCGGACAAGGTGGCCCCGCCGATACGACCCACCAGATCGAGCATTGAGACGATCGACAGCAACAGGGACGCGTCCCAGTTGTCGAAACCCAGGGAGATGGCGTAGGCCGGCAGCAGGATGACGAAGTTGGTGTAGCTGACGGCGTTGGTGGAGTTGGAAATGAGAATAACGAGGTAGACGGGATCCTTGAGCAGACTGAAGTCAAAGAATTTGTTTTCCTGATTCTTCTCTTCGACCTCACGCTGTTTCTGTTCCGACACGTTTGACTTCTTGACGAACGTGCTGGAGATGGCGTTCAGCGTGAGCGTGGACGCGCGCTCCGGATGCAGCACCGATAGCGTGCTACCGTGATACGGAGTGCTCACGTAGTTGAAGGACGACGCGCTGGGCGACTGGAGCGGTGATTTTGCCGTACGCGAGTACTTGCCGTGTTCCGGCACGGCATGCAATGTCGGCGTGCTGTGCATCTGGCCGCTGATCTCGCGCCCGACCGGCATGCTGATCTTACGCGTGCGGCCCTGCACCGGGGGCGTGTTCTTGTAGTATTCGAGCGCGACGCTCGACGCGCTTTTTGGCACGATCGGCGCGGCTTTCTCGCTCGTCGAGTCCATTGACAACGCCAGCTGGTTGTTGCTCTTCTCGATCGGTTGTTCGGGACTGCTGGTGACGGTGACAGATACGGTCTCGTTGTTATCGCGCTCGTCTGTCTCGTCCGGGACTCGAGCTGGTATCATGTGCCACTCCACCGGGTGATACAGAAGCGCGCTCGCCCAAACGTTTAGCGTGACAGCTCCCATTATCAATACCGCGCCTCTGCAAACAAATAAAAACAAAATATACTATTGTCGATCGCGTTTGTTACGCGCTTTGTCGATGTGCGTTCCGACTGAAGTTTACCTGTAACCGTATTCCCGCAGAAGAAAGCCCAGAATAGGCGGAAGAAATATTGAGCCTAACGCGCTGCCGGATATGCAGAGCCCGTTGGCGAGTCCTCGTAGCCGTACAAAATACGATGTTACAATATATACAGTCGGGGGAAATGCTAATCCCGCCCCGGTACCTACCAGTACGCCATAACTAGAAATGAAGGAAATTGCGTAAGGAAACACACAACGGTGTGCCGCGCTTGTCGCATAATAATAACGGTTGTTTATACGCAATGCGGAATTCCTTTCTCCGGAACACATTCGCGTTGTTTTTTTTTAAAAAACGTGATCCGGTCTCGAGAAAGGAAATCCTCTGTTTCGAAATATATAAATTTCATTTCTTTTTCTAAACAGAAATTACCTAACGCATAGAAAGGCCACAGAGTCCGCGAAATAGCTCAGCATCATCCCTGCCGCAGCAAATGTTCCTCCTATTAATGTTACCGTGCGATAAGAATACTTGACGGAGAGTATACTAGAGAGTGGGCCTGAAACGATAAGATATCATTGAGTCAAAAGAGAGAAGCACAAAGTACTTCGGATCTGTGCGTATGTTATTTATCTCGGCAAAAAAAACTATGCACTTATACAGAATATTTATTGTCGAATTTATCGAATTCTTGAGAGAGATTACGAAATGAATAAACACGTTGTTTTTCAGCTTCTTGCGTGACATCGAGATAAAAACTTCGAAGGTGAAAAATTCTCGACAAAGTCCAAGAGAGAGAGAAAAAAAAAGAGAAACAAACGTCTTCGAGAAAATACTTAGCGAATGATTCTTACCTAGTGAGCTGTACAGGAAGTAACACAGCGACGGTATCCACGCAGCTGCAGCCGGTGTCGCGTCGAACACACTGAGAAATTCAACGAACAACACTCCGAAGGATTTGATGGTGCCCGGGATGAGAAGATTCACCATGACGGAGGCTAGGAGTACCAACCATCCCCAGCCTCCGTCCGGTGGTACCAAGTCCTGATCTGCTTTCTTTTTCTCTTCAGTTTTCTCTGTAACACAAGTGTTCGAGATAAGAAATTAATTTCATTTACTTCTCTCTTGTTTTTTCTCTTTGAGCCACGTGTATACACACGGGACACTTGACACGCGATGTGTCTTCCGTGAGTTATTGTATCTTTTTTTTTTTTTTTTTTAATGACAAATTTTTTTTTAATGATAATAACTCAGTCGGAAATTGTTTTGTGATCATTATTTAACGACTCGATGTTGCAATTTGAAAGATATACGCTATGAATTATTCACTCGGGTGGCAATTATTTCGCAACAATCATCCGTTGTTTTTGTTGTTTCTGAAGGCGAGAAAGAGAAAGAGAGAGAGAAAGAAGGAAATAACAGGAATTTCGAACTTCTAAATGTTCTTGACAATTTCTCAATCTACATGAGCAAACAAACTACATTGGGAAGAAGCAGTCAGCGTGGTGCGCGTACATTATTAAATCTTGTGTAACCAATCGCGAGAAGAACGAGACTGAGCAAACGATGGCAATTAAGCAAATAACAGGCAGACAGGTTAAATGACGTTCCTTTAATGCGTGCTTTGCGTCGGAGAAAATGTTTCCGAGGAGATAACGAGATGGAAATTGGTGTATGGTAATGAATCGCTAGAACAATACCAATCCTCCCTCAAATATATATTTTTAGCCACCGATTCTCGAGAACGTGATCGCACACGATATCTCGCGAAATATATTACTGGAAACAACAACAAATTTCTACTGACGTTTAAGAATTAACACTGTTACACATTGCGTCATCGCGATATTTATAATGTGATGCAACGCGATATACGAAATATTTCATTGTGATAACAATACAATCGTATTGTGTTATCCCGAATATTTTTCTTGAGAATCAGCTGGACGTGAAATTCTTCTGGATTGAAACTCACCGCCGCGAGGGAAAGAGGACGAGAGAGTCAAACACAATAAACGCATTGAACGCGAACATAAAAGTCATTGACATTCAATGATAGGGAAAAGAAGAACAAAGTAAGGCATTGCGCGCGCGCGAAGGCGAGAGTCATGATTTCTCCTAGTCATCAATTAACATTCATAGGTACGGGACATTGCGTGGAATGCTGATGTAGGACACCTCATGCGGAAGTCACTTCCTTTGTGCAACCGTAGTCTTTGTATGTACATTCGAAACAATAACAAACGAATTTGAATTAATTCAGGGGGTGACGTTTGATCGTGATTTTTTTCTTTTACTCGCTGAATATGTTTTTTTGTTTTTCAAATAAAACTTTTATTTTTTCTAACGATTTACGCGCCGCAACTGCTCCGTTAAAACAAACGTTTGGCGATTTTTAAATTAATCGGCGGGAGAAATGTCCGTTTGCAATTTCTCTTATCTCTGACTGTTTTTTTTTTTTTTTTTTCAAATAAAAAAACTTGTATTTTTTTCTATTTTTAACGATTTTTATGCACTGTGCAACAGCTCGGGATTGGGCAAATACTCGGGAATTTTATTTTATTTCTTTTTTTTTTTTTGATGAAAAAATGTGTGCTGTGTTTTACCATTTAAAACAATTGTGACTCTTATTTGAATTCTTTCTTGTTTGATGTCTCGGGGATTACATCCGAGCGAAAATTTCAATGGGTTCTCGCACACGTGTAGCGTTGTTATTGTACGAATGTTATTACGAGACTTGGGTGTGTTATTCTCAATGAACGGCGCGAGAAAACGCCGAGAGGGTGGACGATTTTACAAAGATACCGACGGCAAGCATGTGTGTAACGCATGTGCGCACGTTATAAATAAAATTAACACGAGCGTGTGACACATTTTAATAATATATCACACAAATGTATCATCGCGGTTGCGCTCATGCACAATTTTATTTCTTGGCTCTCGAAAAAATCAATTTTAGATCTAACTCTTCTATTTGTGACGCGTCGTCGTACAAAGGAAAAACTACAGCCGATTTATTACATATATATACTCCACTCATGAAAAAAAAAAAAAAAAGAAAAAAAACTATAGCAGCGAACTCACTCAAATATAGCAGATAATGATAGAGTGCCGGCAGAGATAAGTCCGATACGGGGACATATGCCGTGATAAAAAGGTATAAAAGATTGTTTCAAGCACAATCGCGTTATTCCCGCACAATGTTCGATGTATAATTTTACTTTCCCACTCTTCTTTTTTTGCGTGATGTAAATTTAACATCCGATCGAACTTTCAAATAAGATTTGATTGTTTGCGATCTGATGAGTTGCGGATATTGTAATTTGTCGTTGCAAATAAACATGAGCTAAATCGCTAACTGTATAAACATTGTTGCAACCGCGTATCTTTGTATTTTTTTAATTGTATTCAAAATGCAACTATATGAACGGGCTTATCGCTGACCGAATTTTTATCTTTAAAAGTAAGATTAGCTAAACATTTTAAATATTCACACGAAGCAAAAAATTTGCGCGAAGGTTATCGCTCAACTCTGATCGTTAACGAAACGTCCATATGTTTTACATACGAAGAGAGAGGCAAAAACAAAACAAAAAAAACCAGAAAATTGTTCTCAGAAAACGGAACCGAAACGGCAGCGCGTCTCTGACGTATTTCTCTCGCTTGACATTTAAATCCTCGCCTGGCGGGGGGGAGGGGGACGAGAGTGACGTCACTTGCGATAACATTGCCACTGTGTCAGCGCACTTTTCCTCCAGATTGAATTTCCTTCAAATTTCGACACGCACACACACGCGTGCGTTTACAAATGAGAATATCAATTCAACAAACTGTAACTCATATACATGTATCATGTTTATGTAAAATTGTAAAACTAGCCGCGACGGCAAACATTTCAAGTTACAAAGTATTAGATTGCGTTGCGAGATTTTCATATTAAAACAAAAACAAAAAAATTAAATTGCACGCACCGTTTTTTTTATCCAAAAGCAGCCCATCTGTCTTATTGGTCCCATTGATGCGATCTTTGTTGTCGGAATTCTGCGACACCAGCGTGTAGTCGCCCTTCCGGTGTTTCCCCGGGCCGAATTTGATGTTGATACCATTGTCCTGATCTTGAACCCGTTGCATCGTCATCGATCTTTATTCGCGAGCGTTTATCACGCACACCGAACGATGTATACACACGCACACACGATTGGATAAGATAAAACAAGTGCGTCTAGGGACCGTGTGTGTCACGGAGCAGAATAATTTGTATGTACTATGTATATCTATATTTAATCTATGTATATATATGCGTGTACAACGAGATGATAAAAAAAAAAAGGAGTAACAACGGGTAAATGCAAAATACAAAGAAAGAAGAAATCAGAGATAAAGAGAGAGACAAAGTGAAGGGCGATGCCGTCGATTTCCTTCCTTTCTTGCTGTGTTGTTTTTCCTATCCTTTCCGGATGTCAATCTCTGTCCTTCTTCCGAGGTGCGCGCTCGCTGTGTGTTTATCACTTCTCGCTTGCTCGCTCGCTCACGCGCGCGCACGCTCCCAAATGACTATTCACGGCGATGTGGACAGGGCTATAGAAACATCGCAACTATAGCGACGGGGATGAGCGACGTCAATGTTACACCTCTCCGTGTGCAAGGATTTTTTCTCACACAGGTCGTTCGCTTCGTAAAATTGTCGCCACGGTGTTTCTCCGCTTTCTCGTTGTTTTTCCGCAGAAACCGTCTGTTTCCCCACAGTCACAGCCCCCGTCGGCGGCGCGTCGTCGATCGACCCGACTGTCGTTGTTCTTCCTCCGCCCTCGTCACGGACAATCTCCTCCTCGCGGGTAAAATCTCCTCCGACCGTGATTGCCAGCTACCTCCTTCTCGTCCTCCTCTTCTTTCTTCTTCTTCTCCTCCTCTTCCTCCTCCTCGTCGTCGTCGTCGTCGTCGTCGTCGTCGTCGTCCTCCTCCTCCTCGTCGCCGTCGTCCACGTTGTTGTCCAGGCGCATAGAGAATGCGGAGCAACACCAGTACGCGCACATAAACCACACGCTCACCGTGTCAAAGCGTTTCTGTCATCCCGTTGACACGCGCAGATCACTCACACGCGTCGCGGAGCCGACTGATCAGCTGTGTGTCACGACGACGCAGGCAGGGGCCGTCAAGTGTCTGCTGCTCGCACTCCTCCCCGTCTCCGTTCCTCGCGCACCCGATTAACACAACACGGGCCACGACCCTACCACCGGGACACGTCGGTGCTCCGCGATATTCCTCGTCCTTCTCGCGCGCACGCGAGCACCGCTGCGACATCCGTCTCTCTCTTTCCCCTCTCCTTATTGGCGGGGAACATCCCCACTTCGCCGGATGCCAGCGGTTCTGTTAGGTTCGCTTTCTTCTCTCTCTTTAGCGCGCCTCTCTTCGTTGTCGTCGGTTCGAATCTTTGTCCTTTGTCTTTCTATTTCCGCATGCGGAATAAGGGCGCGGAACTATATATCTCATCACCAGCAGCAACCGCAGCTGATGTTGTGCACTACAGTTAACATTTAAGTCGCGCAAAGAATTAATCGATGGAAGTAACAAGATCATCGCGTGGTTTAACGTGTGCGTTTTGAATTTCCGAATAAGGCGATAAAAAAATTCAAATTTGCATCCATCTCTCTCTTTATCTTTCCCCTCTCTGTTTTTCTTATTTCCAAAGCTAATACAGAGATAATATATGCAAACGTAATTGTAAATATTTGCAAATATTTCTGCCGCTTTCTCTACGCGCGCGCATACGCACAAGTATTTCCTGCGGAAGAAACCAGAGAAGCAGCGGCTCTGAATAAATTTAATAAAACAAAAACAAAACCTGTGCTCGCTATACGCAGAATCAGGGTACAAGGTACAAGAAAATAAAAAAACGATGATGAAACGAAAACGCAAACTTTAGATTCTCGCGTGACACTTGCGTAATTCAAGCAGGCTAAAATTGCAAAACGCGGCCTCTCGTATGTTAATCTTAATGTTTAAAAAACAATGTAAGAAAAGACCAGTCAGATGTGTCAGGTAAAATCGCACGCGGCTATCGGAGTCGCATCACGTTTCCCTCAAGGGAACACAAAGAAACGCAGGCCACGCGGTAAATTTCCATGAATCGCTCTCCGCTCTCTCTCTCTTTCTCTCTCTCCCTCGATCTTCGACTAACTAAGCAGCTAACACTATGTGTGTGAGCTGTGTCTCTAAATAGTAGCCGACACACTCAGCCCCTAGCTCAATCTGTTCTCCATTTCCTAACACTTGAGAGAACTCATAGAAGGCGTAACGAAGTTGGTCGGTTTTGAATGTCGTTTTGCAACGTTTTTGATTTTTCGTGGTTTTTACCCACGCGAGAAAGAAACAACGAGAGAAGGACAAGCGAGGTTGCGAAAAATTGCTTTTTAAACCGGACGCGCGTTCCACGTTCCTTTTGTTGTAATAATTTTGCGCGTCTATTTTTGTTACTCTTTCTTCGCCTTTAAAAAGACACAACGGGTTGACAGACGAATATGCACCCGCGAATGCCAAAAACTCGTAACCTTCATTCGCGTGGGTCGCCACGTGCGTGTCGGATTGTTAGAATCCAGTCTCGGATCTCCACGTCACCGTCTCCCGACCTTGCCAAGTTTCAAGGGATCGAGAAGGAGACAGAAGAGAGATTGGATACCTACAAGGAATGGAAAAATTATGAAACAGACCTGAGACAATGGCAATGAGGATTTCGTTTACATTACAGCGATTCGTCATCACTTTGTGAAATTGATCGCGCGCGATTTGTCGATTAGTTTCGCTTAATAGCGAGAACATTTTAAGTCCATTTCTTTGCATATGATGACGAAATGCTTAATAATGATAACCGCCGTTATGACATACATGTGTGTGTGTGTGTGTGTATACACACATATTATATTAGAGATATATGAACCATTTGAAAAAAAAAAAAAGACGACACACATAATCCGCGCGTGACTGTGTTGACGTAGCAAACAGATAAGTCGCAAATATTGATAGCCGCGAGCTCGTATAATTGTTAACAGCTTCTATAACTCTTATCGATTTCGGGAAATTTGACACATCATTTACAACACGCCTCTCGCGCTACGCCGTCGTATTATTTTCACGAATATTTCGCACAATTCTCTGCAATTTGTAATGTGCGAAATATATGTTTGTTGAAAGGAGAACCGCTCTCTCAAATAAATAAAATTGTCGTCACGAGCTCGTGTGGCGCAATGTGCCACCACCAGTTAATTAAAGCAAATTATGTAATAAATTGTAATACTGAAACGTAAAGCGAATTCTCAGTTTTATATTTATAAATGTAGGTTTACGTAACAGATTAATTACAATTTTTACACACGTACAATTTTTATGTAATTCAACCAATTTCTACATTTTTAAGTAAATTTCCAAATTTCTTTCGATTTATGTAATTTAATAAATTTCTCTGCGCGATCGTGTACTGAAGATAAAATATAAAATAAAAAAGATATCCACACACACACACACACACATATATGTAATAAAAAAAAACAATCATATTACGTTATCTGTACCAGATCTGCAAAACGGCGATAAAGTTATCTGAAAAATAACTTACGATCGAAATCAGTTCATGCTGAATTACGTAACGATATTATGCGCGCGGCATTCTCATTGACATCGTTAATATATAATTAAAAAACAATTCTTCAGACAAACAGAATGATAAAAATTGACTAAACACATCGATCAGTGTCTCTCGTTCAAAATCTTCACAAAAGAGAACAAATTCGATCTCTTCCTTTGTGTGCAGAGATTTCTGAGCTTCTCTTCTTGCCGGGAAATGATTCTTTTATTGCCGCTGCTTGCCGTAAAGTCTCTCGATAAGAGCAAGTCCGATTAATGCAGCGGTACATCCATCTTTGAGAATGTCGGAGATCAAGCCGAGGCAAAACGAAGTGGTAGTAGTAGTAGTAGTCGCGTGACTACAATTGCGACTTGACTAATTAGTCAAGTCCATCTGGCAAACGAAAACAACATGTGGTTGCAACATAAATTCATTCTTATTAAGCATCAATTGGTGTTGTGAAGACAATTACACAGACAAGTCCAGAAGGCAATGATCATTATTGCGCGTCTTTCCACGTATTATCGGCGATAAGTGCCGTTGTTTTCTCGAGTTTGGAGAAATGATAAAAATACAAAATACATTCTCTACGCGCAATTCTCTAAGTCTCAAATTACATTTAGTAGCGCTTTATAGTATCAAAACATTTATAGACCGCGATAAAGAACAAAGTCAATCAAAAAAGCATTAAATAAGAATTGTTAACATACATTCTTTGTGAGAAAAATCGTTTTTGTTTAAAAAAACAAAAAACAAAAAAAAAACAAACGCTTTTTCTGCAACGTTTTTTACGTTGTTCGCAAAAATAATCTGCACACGTGTTCAACGAGTTGGACGTTATCGTAGCGGATTATTATTTGTTACGAAATCAACGGTTGTATATTATATCGCCTTAAGGAATCATTAAGTACATTATTCGCGATTAGATTGAGCGAACGATGTCGTGTCGTGCTGATTCGAATCTGCACGACGACGCTCCATTTTTTCGAGTTTATCAGCACAAATGATTTCGAAACGCGTCGCTTCTCCGATTGCTTCGAGATCGCATCGAATGGAACTCGAAACCGAAACAAAATCGAAAAGGTTACACGCGTTTCTTTATCTTATATACCGATTAAACTGAAAGTTTTTTTTTCTGACGCTCGATGGACATTTCGTTTTTTTCCCGATTTTATCTGAGAATCTAAAAACTTATTTTTACTTCGAACAAATGCCGTTTGTGTGAAGAATTGAGAGAAGAGGAAATAAGGAAATAATTGTCTTCCGCGCATACACGATCGCTATTTTCCTCGTAAAGCGAGAAAAAAATGCGATGTCAAGGATAAAATATATCGCGCGTTTTCCCCGAGTTCTTCGCATCGTTCCTCACTCGGCCCCGTTGGCTTTAGAGAGCCTGCATTGATAGCGGCAAGGTCAACGCACGCGTGCTCATTGCGTCAGCCATAGCGTCGCACTTGTCGCTATTTACGTGATGTAATAATCTTTCCGTTCTTTTCTATTCTTTCCCTTGCATCGTCGAGAAGCGTAGCCTTGTGCGGTATGTTTTGTTGAAGTTTTTTTTTTGGTTTTGAAAAACTTCCATCGTTTTGTTCCAAACAATAGGTTTCGCACAGACAGAACAGAAAATAAATTTTAAGCTTGAAAAAAATACTATTGTTTTCTTGCGTATCTCAAAAACAGTCGGTGAAGAAAAAACAAATAGATAATCACGTCAAAGAGAGGAAGTATGAACCACAGTGACGTTTGTTTTTTCCAATGTAATGTTTCTACGCGCGTATTTTAATTTCAACATCAGATTACACTATATCTTCTATACTTATACAATTTATTTTTTTTTTATATAAATGTCAATACAAGGTTCATATAATTGTGTCAATATTTAATATATTTTAGTTCTTTTTTGAAAAAAAGAATGAAAATATATTAATAAATGTTTGTTAATTTTGTGCGTTCAGAGAAAGCGTTTTTGAGGTACTTGGAAATTTAATTTATTTTGTTTGGTAAAATATATACTATGATACAATATTTGCGTCTATCTCATTATTAAACATTAAAAAAAAAAAAAAAAAAAAAAATCATATAGCCAGAGGAATGTCTATATTCCCACAGCTACGTATTTAAATGTGTAACGATATAATAGTCCAATATACTTTTCTTAATTAATATTTGTACGCCATATTGATTACCTACTTTTTTACTATTACATAGTTCCGCTTTAATTCTCACTGCTTGCTTTGTTCTTGTTCTGTTGTTTGATTCGATAGTCCGACAAAGCAGCCTTAATCGCGTCTTCGGCAAGCACTGCAAATTGTTGAAAAAAAAAAAAAATACACAATATGTAATATTAATAATATACACAAAAACACAATGTATATTATAATATCTACTATCTGAGAAAAAGTTTTCATGAATACTTACTCGAACAGTGCAGCTTGACTGGCGGAAGGCAAAGCTCCTTTGCGATGTCGGTATTTTTCAATGTCAATGCTTCATCCACCTAAAAAAACAATGTGAGGAATATTACAGTAGAACAAGTATTTATAATAACAAGACACAATGTATTCTGGAGATAGTGTACGATTGTAAATTGCAAAAAAACATTTCTCACCGTCTTTCCCTTCACCCATTCGGTTGCAAGAGAACTTGAGGCAATGGCAGAACCACAACCAAAAGTCTTGAATTTTGCATCAACTATTTTGCCATTCTCGTCAACTTTAATCTGAAGTTTCATCACATCACCACAGGCGGGTGCTCCTACTAAGCCTGTGCCAACTTGTTTATCGCTTTTGTCCAGTGAGCCAACATTTCTGGGATTTTCGTAGTGATCCAAAACCTGTATAAAAAAAAAAACAATATTTCTATAAGTTTTGTAAAATAATTCTATTCTATCTGTCAGAAGTCATTAAAAACGTGAAAAAACAATTTTTTAAGGCAACAAAATATTTACGGGTAGTTAATTTTCCAGAATAAATTAGTCAAAAGCAAAAAAAAAAAGAAAACAATTTGAAATGCGTAGTTGCGTGCGACATTTGCAACAAAATAAACATAGTACAAAGTTGCGTTAAAGTGACATAAATACGATGTAAACATAAGCGAAGTGTAAACACAAGCGGATTGCATCATGTTGCGCCACAAGCAACTAGCGCAATTTTAGTAATAATTAGCCGGACAAAATAGTGCATAACATAAAAAATAAACGCTTTTAAATAAACGTAAATTGTTTTTGCGTGACACGCTAAATATTTAATTGCATCAAATATTTAAAACTGAATACATCGAGGTGTGTAATCAAAGGTGATGTTGCGATAGCAAATTGGATCGTATTTGCGTTGCATGTTTAACAGTAAGATCGCAATAATAAATACTGAAAAAAACTGTGAACGACGTACACGTAATAACATCGATAATCAATAATAAATATCGCGCATTGAAAATGTGAAATTGAGGGTTAAGTTTGGAGATAGGCGCACGTGTGCAATAAAATTCGTTGTAATTACATTTGCGTGATAAGATACGGCCGGGACGCTTCTTGAGATAAGTTTTGAGGTCGCGCCAATTCCGGCGGGTAATGTCCGAAACAATGCCATCTTATTTTACGTACGCACTTCGCAAATCGTCATAGATCACTTCAACTTCAGTGTCCTTCGTTTGCAATCTTCAGTTGTTTTTATACCTCCAGATGATTCTCCTCCAAGATTCCCTTTAAATACCGAGTGCGAGTCAGATGGGAAACAAAATTACGTTCGCATCGCCATCTACCAAGAGAGTTTCGATTTGCAGTTCGTACTTTTAAAAAAATTCTCGAGTACTTGATTGGCTGCGATTCGATCAACGCGCGACCGGATCGTTTGCGAATCCGGCCGCACGATCGGATATTGGTTTGCGATGGAATAAAAAAAAAAAAAAAA